AAAATTTATTGCTTTGGGTAGTATGCGGCTGTACTTCCTAAGCCTAATAATTTACGAGCACTAACTTTATTTACAGTCTGGTGCTATCGAGTAGTAACAACGATCGTCTTGGCGTATAGATGTCTATATAGCCTGGAAAGTAACCTATAGAATACATAGATTTACTGTGTGACTTCACTAGTGACTGCAATAGATTCGGTTAATATGACAATAGGCAATTAATAAATCCGAGTACTAAGGTTACACTGGAAAATATTAAAGTTATTCACATCTTTTGATCTAGAAAAGAGAAATTGTTCCTATAAAGATTTCTTGGATTTAATAAACATTTCAAATAAAATAATTTTACCGACTATATCTCGTTTAGTTTTGTTTTGTGAACTTCGACGTTTCAACGCGTTTTTTGTCCTGACGTCACATCGAGGCTATCTATAACTTAAATAATTTATCTTTGCAAGTATATAGTTTTGATTATTTATCTATGCACAATAAAGAATGTTCGTGCAGTATCTTGAGGTCTTGTATTGTAGGGCACACTAGGATTTACTTTAATAACTTACAGGATCAGAAGCTTATAAAAGCTCTTTTCTATAACTTTTTTTTTTTATTACAGTAGCCTCGCGTAATTTTTCTAAGGATGTTCACGTCCACTTTGTGTGCTTTACGTGGCTTTTAACGATATTTTCTTAGTTCTAAATAAGAAATACTACATTCACAATCTAGCTCCAGCTAGGGAGCTTTTAACTTGTAGCGGGTTTATATTTATTTATATTTATATATTTATTTGGCACGGTTACAAAATACAAATTCTAACATGACTACATTATTACAGACTAATACATATTACTAAACTTGCATTTCAATAACAACCGAGCACAACATGCAATTTTAATAATGTATGTAATAAATTATAGTTGTTACTCTTATCAGGTGGTTAGACTGACTTACCTTCGTTGATGGCTTGAAATGGATATTTTGTACATCGGGTACATACAGGTGCGGGATTTGGAACTTCTTACTGTCCAGGACTTGATATTCTATAGTTCATCGTCATGACGTTCATTGTCTTGAGGATATTATGAGAATTACCAATTACTAATACATAGTAAATCAAGAAAAGCTAACGAGTTACACTACAAAATTTCCATAGTAAATTTTATTTTAGATTCTATGGAATAAAGGTGTCTCCTACATACCGCTTATCCAAGCTATCTAAGTTAACATATACCTAAGATGTAATAGGTACAGAAGACAATACTACCTCTTAAAGGTCTTTGAAAAAGTCCATTTACCAGGAATGTAGGAGCTTACAGTATTTTTAATACTTTGCTTCTTTCTTGTACATATGTCACAAATAAATAATCAATAATTTGACGGTAGACCTGGATAAATAACCATAGCAATATGAGCGGTATGTAGGAAATTAAACAACAAAATAGATTTATCTTTATATTTTCAACGTGTGGTATTTTCCTAAATCCAAGAAATCATAATAAGTAACAATCCTCTCATTCTAACTGAAGTAACTGAAAAAAATAAGGAATGTTTTTGATCAAGTTTGTTGAAAAAAGTAAGCAAATACATTAAACATGATGTTTCCATATGCACAGAGCATCAAAGTAATACGTACAATCCTCTTTTATATCTGAAGGAAATGTTTGATGACTTAGCGCTATCTTGTATCGGCGTGTGTAACTTCAGCGTTATAACGAACGGAATTTCTTATCGTAAAAATACGAAAGAAAAACTTGTGGACCTGAAAAGTCAAATTATGGTTTTGAATAAACGTGACACTAAATCTTAAAGATGTACATATGTACAACCATATCTTTATCATTCCTTCTCCAGATTTTGGTCCATATGCTCGAATTGTCCTTGTGTAACCTTTACTGTACCGTCTCTGCCAATAACTTTCGAAGTACCATTTTATGTGAGAATGTGGCAAGCTATCTGGCGGTTCACCTGGTTTTAAGTGATAACCGCCGCCCATGGATATTTGCAACACCCCTGGGGTTGCAGATGCGTTGCCACTTTTCAACCCCAGTTACCTCACACACCAGGCGAAACGCAGAAGTGTAACACTTCCATTTCACGCTGGCTTTCTGTGGGGTCGTGGTACTTCTCCGGGCGGACCTGTCCATTCGTGCAACAGTGAAGACTGCCCATTCGTTCAACACGTGTAGTGTTATAAACTACCCCTACCTAAACTATTCCTTACCACCTACAGGTTTTGTTCACACATTCGTCATTGATGCTCCTCCACTGTATTCGTTCTTAATTTTGTCACACCTATATTATTATGTTTTTTCCTCAAACATTTACGCTGATTTAATAGTATACATAAGACTAACAATAAAAATTCATATTCATATTAATAATTGTCTGATCCGAGTTATTAGTAACTGGTCAAATAAACATTATAAAATGTTTATACATACACCAGTAATCGTGTCAATTTAAGATAATTATTTTCATGCTAGCAACACTAGTGAGTGAGCAACAATGAAAATTATATTTACTTATGTTCAAATTTTTATCACTAGCCACCTACTCAATTAGTTTAATTTAAGACAAGCATGTAAGTTAGGTACTCTCGTACGATAACTCTTGGTTTCCCGGCCGTTGGAAGTTAGACCGTAGCGCGATGTGTTTAAGAGCTGTATCGGCGTGATCGCTTTTGCACGCATGAGTGCCACAGTATTATGCGCTTGCGCATGTCCAACCATTTTGAGGAAACGCTTCAAAATCTCGCGTTTGGAACAAATCGCGAAAAGAATTACTACTGCAAAGTTGTACGAAATGTTGCAAATTTGCTTCCTATGAGTTACATACCTTACGAAAAAGTAGACTATAACTAAGTGATTAAATATCGAAGATGTAGTGTAGTTAATTAATTTAATTTTAATTGTACGAAATTCCGTAACCGTCAATCCTTCTAGTCTTTCCATCTGATATTGGAAATTCTTTTTCGGTTTTAACTATGAACGACTAATAGACAATAAGTAAACTATACTAAAAACGAAAAATAACTACTTTGCTGCAAAATTTTACTTTCTTTTATGACTACATTAACTTATACAGTATTTACGACGAATCGCTTTCTTACCTTATCGCCGTGGTCGGGCCAAAAAAGGAGGATTATATTGTTATTCTGTTAGTTTCCAAACTATGTACTATAAACAGCTAAATGTCTGTACTTATGTGCCCACATAACTAGTAAACGGCTATACAGTATTTGATGAATAACATGTCGTTAAATTCGACTGGATCGCGAGTACCACTGGGTGTATCACCTAGCGCATCTTTAGTGCTAAAATGTCCGTTTTAATTTTTTTTTTATGATTATTAATATGTTTGACGGGTAAAATTACTTTTGTGATCATAACACGATGTCAGTTACAAGAACGGGGCGAGGAAGTTTGTTGGGCATCAATGAAATGCCTCCGTTTCTAGATTAGGAAGGGTTCGTGTGGCCGTGACGCCGCGTCGCCCGAGCGACGCACTGCCCGCCAGCCAACCGCTAACACCAGGGCCTCCATGATGTCCGGTTTTTACGGACATGCAATTTGATACCATTTAATATCTAGTTGCAGCTACTACCGCCTATCCTGATGGCAAAGTTATTATTTTGTCTCTGTTGGTGAATTAATTAGTGCTAATGGCCTATTCACCGTTACCTTTACTTCAGCTACTTTCGTATTTAAAAACATAGCGTAACATAATATACACATATATATGTGTCGTTACCACCGCGACAATAAATGAACACACGTCTAACGCTACTTGCCAATAATCATAAAAAATATTAACGTTAAAAAATATCCATAATTAAAAAAAATGTATTTTAAACAAACTAATTAAGTAAAAAGAAACAAAATTTGTAACATCCTATACAACTACTGACTGATTCATACATTCAGAGACTTTTTCATTCGTTGCCACAGCGTCGCATTACAAGCCTCTCCTTCTAACAGTATGTTTTGTCTCTTTTAAATTCATTCAACCCATTCATATGCTTTGTGACCTTTACAAATAAACTTTACATTACAGTTTTATACGTAAGGATGTTCTAGAATTCTTTGTTTTGGAAAATTTAATAACTCGGTAAATATTGACGTTTAAAGAATGTAAATGCTTAATACAATTTTAAAAAGTAATCCACTATATGTGTCTTCATTTATTGTCGCGGTTGTAACCGCATGCTGTATAACATTTCCGTCAAATAGTATTAGAATGAAATTTTTGTTAATCCAAAAATTATAATTTAATTCCAACATAATAAATACGTTAAAAAGTAGAGTATACAGAAATAGCGGATGCTATCCCGTAGAAATAGAAAATAGAGTTTAATCTTTACAGTACATTATAAGGTTCTGTTATATAAGTAAAATAAAATTATGAATAAAAATATTTTAATTAAAAAATACTATCATTTCCTCGCTCTACCTACACCGCTAATTGTCTATCTTATTGTATATTACAAGTTATTTAATTTTTTTTGCAATGTAGTACTTAAAAAGGTATAGAACACTTATTTTGAAAAACTTTTAACACACCTCGCCAATATATCGAAAATACAAAGATAATATAAATACAAAATATAGAAATGAACAAAAAAGATCTGATGTCTAAAATATTAACGTTTTCTATGGACATACTAGTTCGCAAGTCATATTTCTTATTTGAAGATACACCACATTATAATTACTACCTCGCCACATTAACTGTTTACAACGAAGACTACACCGCCTTTACCGTCTATTCTACGTAAAATTCCCGCTAAGTTTCCATCGGATGTATATTGCGAGGCGAAAATTGACTTTTATCGTGACGAAACGTATTTAAGTGTGCTCAGACATATTTACATTGTGCCGTCGATATTTTAGAACGCATAACAGTTGAGACCTATTTTTTTGCTATAAGCCGCGTTGTGGAGACGCCGTGCGCGAACCGAAGATTCACATATCGCGTACAATTAATGTGCAGTACGAGAGCGGTGTATGTCGGGAGGCGATAATGAGGAGTGCAACGGTGACGTCAGCGGTGCGGGCGGTGGGGGAGGGGAGCGGCGGAGCTGCGCGGGGGGGGGGGGGGGGGGGGGGGACACCGAGGACGCGGAGCTGCGCGCCCGTTCATTGTAGTTTTTCGATTATTGTTTAATTAGGGCGAAGCGGCGGCGGAGCGGCGGCCAGAGGGCACGCGTGTGCGGCCCGCTTCTTACACTTTTTATCCATTCTACTCGCTTTTGTCCGTTTTTTTCACTCGAATTAAACGCAAAGTACTTTATAACTAGGTCTAATTATAATATATTAAGATCTACAACTTTTTACTTTCATACTTTTCGGTATGGAAGGATAATTAAGGCCAATGATTGGTTACTCGTTGGAGAGTGTAAATGAGTTTTGTGTTCATTAAAGCCAATTTTGGCAATTTTTAAGGCATTAAAACTGTGATTTCATGTACGTTTATTTCGATTCCAAACCGCTATACTTATATGCACGTCATGATTTAGCATTGTCCGTAAGAGATTGCGCTCGGTCTCGGTAATGTGTTGCGTGCACACATAGATGGCAAATGTCAAATGCACGGATGCGCCCTTGGCATAGATTCATAGATGCAATGCGCTGGCCGTGCGGTCTCCGTGAGCGGCGGCGAGGTTTAATAAGGCGTTGTTGCGGCGCAGACGGCGGGCCGGTTGGCGGCGGCTGGCGCACTATCTGCGGGCGGCGACCGGCGGGGGCCCGCGGGGTTGCGCGCGGCGGCGGCGGCGGCGCGGCGCGGGAAAGAGCGCGTAAAAAGGCGAGCGGCCGGCGCGCGCGGATCCGCCGCCGCCGCGCGCCTTTCACGAGGTCGACGCCCGCCGGGGCCCCGCCGAAACCGACCCCGGCCCCGCGCCGCCGCCGCCGCCGCCGCCCCTCCCTCGGCCGCCCCGCGCTGCCCCCGCTCGGCCCCCACCGCCCCGCGCCGCACCCGCCTGACCCCCTAGGAGATTTTCCCCAATTTCACCGGCGCGCCGTGGAAACGGGCAGCGATTAGTCTCGGCGGCTGCACCTAGAGCGAAGTCCACCGCATTGTCGTCGCCAGTGCGCAGTCCGATGTCTATATTTGGGTTGCGCGGGCCATGCCTGGAGGCGGGCGGTGCGCGCCCCGAGCCCCCGTCTCCTGGTTGAAAGACGGCGTCTTTCCGAGAATGCTGAGTTCACCGCAGTAATAAGATCGGCCCGAAGGAAAATCGTTTTACGACACGCCCACGGCGCTGCGTGAAACTCGCGCCGACAATAAAAGGACCATTAACGTCCAGTCAGAACTCTTGACGTCGGCCTTACCCACGTAGTCACATGACTTTCGCATGTGTTATTTGTGGTAGATCAGGCATCAAAAGGACGGTGCGCACAGCGTGTAATATGACAGAGATCGGATCAATACGTCTTGCCATCGCCTCCTTCGCCGGTGCTAACTACGTAGACGACCCACACGAATGTCGAAGCCCGACTCTTAAGGCGGCAGTGGTCGCGATTTTGCGACAAAGGACCCCCGGTAACATTCCACTGGATGAGTAATGTGAGCGCGAGTCGGCGGCTTCGCTGTGAGCGGACAGTGGACGTGCGCACTCATCGATAGTATCCGGGCCAATGCCAGCCGTACCTAAACTAGAAAAGTATTGTCCTCGAATGTTCTGAGCGATAACCGCAACGCCGCTCAGCGCCAATTGCGGCTCTAAGCCGTGCGGGATAGGGTCGCCTTTTGGCGGCACTCTACGGTAGAGGTTGCGCGTGAGATATGTGAAGTCGCGGCATGCGGGTCGCGCGGCGTTCTCACGCTTTGAATATTCCTGCTCCCGGCGGACCCCCCCTCCCGCCCCGCCGCCGCCCCCGCACCGCCGTAGCCCCCCGCGCGCCTCCGGCAGCCCTTCAATGACGCTCCCTCTACTCCCACCGCCAGTATCCCGACTATAATTGAATGAACCTAGCGAGGCTGTTTACATCCGCGCCACTCACCGACACTATCCCAAGAGCGGCGTACCGCGCTATATTTTCGCCGGACCGTAGCGTTCCCAGATACGCATTGGAGACTTCACGCCCAAATTCCTTCAATTATCTCGTCAACTGTCGAACCCAGATGTCCGGAACCCGTTAAGCAGGCGACGCGGGCGCTCTGCGATTCAATGCTTTTGAGCCGTACACGATAACTCCATGCCGCCGTTAATGCCCTTATCCGTTGACAGTGTTAGGATGTGACTGCAATATCATGAAACTGGACTTTATTGCTGAGCTCGCGGAACGGCTCTGTGGCCGCAGGGTATACCGATGGATGCTCCTAATCAGCAAGAGTTAAAATGCCTTTTTGCAGTATGGATGCCATTTTTTTCTAGATAAAGGCTTACAAAGAACGTGATTTGTCTAAACTAGGTCAGCTGTTTTCGGTCGTTTTTATAAAACCTCTAAAAGCACTTAAATACGTATTATTTGACTATTGTTTCCACGCAGGCCGATTATCTTAACCTCCCTTAGATTTGAAAAATATTTAGCAAACAATAATTTTTGGATGTGTCTCTGCTTAATATTTTTATTGTGTTTGTAAAACGAATCGCTAATACTATTTATACTTTATTTTATTTTATTTTTAGTTTAACAAAGATAATGATTCAGACGCAACACTAGACATATTTTTGGCACATTTGGAAAAATACAACGGTATTACCATAGCAACCAATAACAAATTTCTTACATTTACCTATAATTCCAAGTTATTTAATTAAACCGTTATCAATTTCATGTCAAAAAGTACTGGTGCAGGGGATAAAATCTTCAGTCATTTTTCTTTTGTTACGCTTAAGAACTAATACTTACGTGCACACCTAAAGTACACACATAATTTCTATTTTAATATTTACATAATATGTAGATATTCGCATTAAAATAAAAAGTTATTAGAAAAAAATTACAAAAACTCAACAAATGTTTACCTAATTCATCTGTTAATCCAAGCCCCATTCTTTTGTAAGATCCATGCCATATACCCTTCAAATGTTAACGTCGTGCCTTTTGCTTGGCAATTAGCCACGCCACGAGCCATCCTAAAAAAATGTATCGCTCGTTATCCGTGCGATATCGCTTTAGAAAATATATATTAGCACGCAATAGTTGTTTAAAAAAATCATCGGCGACGAACGAAACGAAAACGACACAATCTCCTAACCTGCCCGTTGCTTCACAACAACCGACAGAACTGTTGGATAGTGAACAACATCTGTGCCTGAGTGATGAACTTAATCTCCCGCGTTTTTCGACCTTAATGGGGTAAACAGGAGCAACTAGTGCCACATCTCAACAAGCTTATTTATCTCCGCACACAGAGATGTCAATTACCACTTACCTTGCATTCGAATCCTTCATTCCAAAGTTAAGTTTAAAAAAATTAGATATGCACTTGATGAAAAAAGATTAAACGTGCACTGATTTCTGCACGTAAGAAGTAGGTATGCAGACTATAGGGCACTTTCATAAAGTGTAAAGTAAAATGCCATTTAAAATTTGCGAACTATATCGACCCTATTGGCCGAAAGAGGGTTTTATCCCCACTACTGGAAAAGTGTTGATTTATGAAGATGGCGTTGTTGCAGTATCTTGGTTACATAGAAAAGTATGTTTAAGTATGTTCTTAAGCTACGTGGCATGATTACGCCGTGTTAAGACATGTCCTGTAACATTCATCTATTATTTCGTTAACGAAGAGATGGACGATGCAAATACAAATACTCGTAGAATGATTCCCCGTTAGGCGATAGAGTCGCTGCTGAAACGCGGAGGCGCGGGCGGCGGCAAGACGACACCCAGTCTTCCGAGAAGTGACGTGCGACATGCGGGCACGCTGCATTCACGAGAAATACGTATTTATGCATGTTTGTCATCTATTATTATTGCCTCGGCACAACGGGACACCGCATAGTTTCAACGTTTCGCCTTCCGATACCGAGAACGGTACGCCGATCCGGCTCTATCCATTTCTGATGCCCATCCGAACCGGACGCGGCGGAATGTGATTTACGAAAATGTATTGTATCACGTTTGCGTTTTTTTGACGGTTTCGTAATATTTGACACTGAACCTCCCGGAAGGTTCACTTTTGCTTATGAAGTTCTACTCAGCTGCAAATTGATAGGTCGACTCTAGTATCCATGCAATAAAACAGTGGCAAGCTCCTGCGTTGGTTATAGAGAACAATTTTCTTAAAACTGTTGTATTCACCCAAGACACTAATCCAATACTTGTAAATGATGCATTCCCATAATTCTTCTAAAGCTTAAAAACTCCGTGTAAAGAGGCTTCAGTCACATCCTTGTTATGGCAAGGAATAGCACAGTTAGTGAGTACCCCGTAAGTGGTTTGTACTATGAATTTATAATCTTTAGAATAATTGTTTAGCTAATACTTTTAAACTTTCTAGAATATTAATATTAGTAAACGGATTGCTCATGTGAACCATAAAAAGTTATTCGGTTGTACTTACTCTTTATGATTTTAATTTCCGTGAAATACCCCACGCCAAACGGGAATTATTTCTTAGCGCGGAATCCGTTTACATATTTTTTATCTGTAAAATTGCTACTGCACTCATGTTAAAAGTATATTTATACAGACTTTTAATAAAAACATACACCTGCATAATTGTTTCCATGTAAAAACAGTGTACGTCGACACAAAGTACTCTAGCGTTTGAAACTGGAAGCGACAATACTCGTAATTGTTAATTGTACAAGACACATAGGAGTCCGTACCATAAATCATCATCTTCTGTTCTAACGAGGCTTGTCTGTGGGAAAGGGGGGCGGGCGAAGCGTTACATTGTCGCCGAATAGCGTTTGATTTACACCAAACAGCCATTAGGGCGAACGTTTTCATCCTGCAGCGTTTAACGTGCGTGCGTGGAGTCGATTGCCTTAATAGTTTCCTGTGTCGATAGGCGCGCCACCTAATTGATCGGTCGGCGGCCACATAGGCCATATTTTAACGGGAAAGACCATCCAATTCCACCGCTTATCGACGCTCGCGCAATTTACTCGGAAGCAGCGGCGCCGTTGTTTTAAAGATATATATTTTTCCATATAACTACTGTCCCCGAAATATGACCCTATGAAGCGAGAGCTTCGTTAATTAAATATTTGAACACAATTATGTCTTACAGCTACTACAAATCTACTTTGAGATTCTATATATATTTAGGACCCATTTTTAACACAACTTTAACTAGTCCTAAACTAAGCAATGCTTGTACTATGGGTACTAGAAAACTTATAAACATGCTTTTTCTTTTGTAAATAAATACATATTATAAATATATAAACACCCAGATAATGGAAAAACAGTATATATGTTTTTTCAGTAGTGGGGATTTAACCCACACCCTCAGGCGCAAGAGGCAGGCGTACTAAACAAACACTACGCAAATGGGGACGCCAAATGAAAAAAAATATGAAGCTGATTATTATCATTACAAACATAAATAAAGCACATAATTTTTTATAGTCTTAACAAAAGTAATATTATAAATTTTTAATTTACGTTAATATATATATATATATATATATATGTATACATGCAAACTCTTCGTCTCTAATCTTACTGTCACGAGTATCATATGTGAAAAAAAAATATATTTCCTCGTTCCAACAATGGGGAAAAGCACAAGCACAGAACCGCCGAGTTGTTGCGGGGCGCTGTCGGCGTTGCCAGTACGCTGGATGTGGGGGGGGGGGGGGGGGGGGGGGGCGGGGTGCGTCGCCGCGCTGGCGTATTTTTAAACCGTGGGGCCGGCGCGCTTTAGCTCACCTTTCGATCTATTCCCGTTGGTTTTATTTTTGAAACTTTTGTCTAGATTACTTTCCTTCCGTCTGCTTATTAGTGGGTGATTGAGACGCGCCGCGGGGGGCGCTGCGGTGCGCGTATATCGTGTTCACGTTTCCGGCGGGGCGGCCGGCGCGTCTCACGTGGCGGGGGTTGAGATGTGTCCCCCCATTTATCACGGATGCTCTTGGGCCGTGGGCTTATTTTTAAATCGTCACCGCATTTATAGTCCGAAATGATCAAGGGGATTTTATTTTTATAAATAGCTCGTAAAAGGCAACGGGTCCCGTTTAAATCGCGTGCCCTCTTAAACGGCTCGCTATATTAATCGGTCCGCTAGATTCTCGTGGGTTCGAAGTTTTTGAACAACATTACTTGATCATCTCGACGTGGTGTTAAACTGTCATATCACATCTGGCAATTTGGAACTCCGGCGGGTTATCTTTCAACGCCCTCTCCTGGACGCATCCGGCCCTATCGGCGACCACATTTGGCCCCAAAAGCTAGCTTAGATATTCCGCTTCGCTCGTCTTCACGGAAACGTTTGTAAATGATCGGCCCTTGCGTGTCCTTGTGTTATAAATGGGCCCACGACGCAGTTCTTAGCATGTGTAGTTCAATATCAAAACGTTCTGAGTCGCTTTGCATTCACAAATGTCAAAGGACTGCTTTATCTTTTTTTTTTTTTTTGGGTGGCAAGCCTGCAGGCGTTTCACATGATGTTAAGTGATCACCGCCACTCATTGACATTTGGTAAACCCTAAGTGTTGCAGATGCGTTGCCACCTTTTAATAAATATAATCTTTTCTAGAACAACAAACTAAAATCTGTAGCTGAACGCAACGCATAAATATCAATAGGTGCGCGCTTGTTGCACAAATATGCTTTTTATCTTTTATGAAAAAGCTCTTAAACAATTACAGAGATTAAGCTGTTGCAGGTCCTTTCTTAAATATCTTATATATATATCTTAAACTTTCCTATGACCGTTATAAGCAATATGACTTTGTGATACTAAACAGTTATTTGAAAACTCCTAGCATATTTAATTTTAGAATAAAATATTTATAAATAGCAAAAGAAATCCATGTAGATTAATCAATAAACGCACCGCGGACAAATGGGGGCCCCTCGAGGTGTATAATAAGACAGGAAATGGGATAAGCTGCACTCCAGATGCATATTATCATATGGGCCAAACGGAGGCACTTATTTATAGAATTGGGGAGCGTGCGGGGGCGGGTCGCTCCCCGAGGGTTACTTAACTTCATGAGAATCCAGCAATTGTGCTGTCAACATGCTCCCCCATAGTAAAGTAGGGGCGACGTACACAATAACATTGTGGTAAAAATAGTGAGGTGAATGACACGAGGCCGTCCTGTTGATGTTTTTTTTTTTGGGATCGACTTTAACTTCCCGCTCTTTTCGAATAGGATATTGGATGATAGTTCACGGCGGAAAATACACTTTAATGTTTGCAACTTATAAATAATGACCATTGATTTATGATGGCGAGAATATTGCTAGACTTTTAAATAGTTTTAGAAATCGATGATCGTTCAAATTAAGTTCAAGTTCTTGCTTATTAGTGATCTCAATTTATAAATTCTAAAGAGGTATTTTTTCTTTATATTTTTATATCAGAAGATAAATATTGCAAAATAAAATTTAACTTTAAATCCTCATAAAACCACTGTGTATATCAAACCTCTGGCCAATCTCCCCTTCATAAGGACGGTGCTCCAAAGTAAATTTTGTCTAAAATGCTCCCAAAAAATTCATGGCTTCACAGCCACAATGCTGTTACAGTGTAAAACTTACTAGGAAGTTGAACTTTCTTAAATGAATTTTCTACTAAGTTTTTGTAAGTTAAATAATATACTTTTTTTATTTAAATTTAAAATGGAGCTAAGGACTTTCACAAATCATGACATAACTCATCTTAATATATATTCCTACATAGTATAAAACAAAGTCGTCCCGCTGTCTGTATGTCTAGATGCGTTTTTTTACTAGATAGAGTGTTTCAAGAGGAAGGTTTATATGTATAATACATTGCACCCCTGCGAAGTCGAGGCGCGTGGCTAGTAATATATATTCTGTTCTAGATAATTTAAAGTTTTTGATGAACTTATTGTGTTATATATGCAGTATGTCGACACAGAGAATATAAAATTATTTAGGACACATTTAGGACACATTCTTTTTACACAACGTTCTCTAGTCCCAAACTAAGCAACGCTTGTACTATGGGTACTAGAAAACTGATAGACATACTTAAACATACTTTTTTTTGTAAAATAAATACACATTATACATATATAAACACCCATACACTAGAAAAAGACTATGCTCATCACACAAAATTTTTCCAGTAGTGGGGATCGAACCCACACCCTCTGGCGCAGAAGGCAGGTACACTACCGACTACGCCATTCGGGTCGTCGTTTATTTTCAAGGATTTCTTAAGTTATGATAGTACTGGGAGGGCTTCAGAATTGAAGTAACAGTTACGTTTCGTCTGATGTGTGTCACAAACTTTTAACAGAAAG